TTAAGCCTAACTCCCAACACTTAACTTGCAACCATCTCTCCAATAGTCTAGAGTTAAGGACTATTTATTGACTGACTGATCATACAACTTGATCATCACTTTCCACCAATTCCTGTGGGCTTCCCCCAAATGCAACTGATCAGACCACAAGGTTCTGGTCCTTCATTCAGTATCCCATACTGTCACCAAAGCTGTCAAGAATGTACCGTGCTTGTAAGATAACTAGTTAGCTTGTCACAGTTCCATGGAAGCTGATAGAAGAAGTAAGTTTCCTGGGTCAGAAACAAAAGTTTATTACTCAGAGTAATCACAGCAGCCAGAGTATAAGCACTTTTACATCAGTTCCCCAAGCCTGATTCCCAAAGTAATGCAAAGTGAGCCAGATAACAAGATCACATGCAACTGATTATGTTATAGGAAAAGAATCCTATACCTCTCAGAAGAACCATGGAGAATGTCTCCCCAAAATACGGAAAGATTTATGAAATGATGCCACCAAATATTAACACTGGTAATTTCTGGATGGTAGAATTATGGCTCTTTCTTACATTTGGGGGGGATTGCTTGAATTTTAATAATAAGCATACATCATTTTCAATTTTGTACTTTAAAAATGCATGATGAACCTTCAGATCAAAATGAACATTTGAATACAAAGCTGCTGTGAAATGAGCAAAAAAACAAAAACACGGGAAACTGTGTATCAACTATACTGCAAATTTTTAAAAAAATTCAGAGCTAAAAAAATAGAGGAAAATATGCATGCATACCAGAAAACTGGGAATATTACTAGTTAGAGTTAGGGCAGGAATTAGTATTCCTCTAAAATGGTTTAACAAAAAAAGCCCTACTATTAATGAAAGTGTATTTATGGGTAAGGAACCAATAATGAATGTTGAGGGAAACACTGAAAAGATGTTACCACTCCAGGCAAAGCCTGGTAATAGCTGGAGTCATAGAGCTGGGGCCACTCAGCTGAAGATGTAGATATGAAGGAAAATTTATTGTCAGAACCACAGCACCAAGGCAGGAAAACAGTAGGACAGAAAAACTCAACCTTTCTTTCCCTATCGACCTCCAATGTTCTGCCAGTGTTTGCCATTTCCTGGACCTAACAAGAAATCAGCCAGGATGACAGTCTCATAAGGCATTCCATAGCAGTTATCTTCTTGGAGCATAAAACAAAGAAGGGCAGACAGCAGACCAAGGTGGAGACAAGACAGAAAATAAGCACGGGTGCTCAACAGTCCAAAAATGTTTCTACTATGGTCAAGATGAAAATAGATTAAAAGGCTAACGAAACCACCTGTAATTTACCATATTCAAGTGAAGACTGACTTGGAAGAAAGTGGACAGAACCTTCTACTCCTCAATAGAGACACGCATTTCTTCAAGCTCATAGTACATGCAATTAGTCTAGGGTGCCCAGCTAAGTCAAGGAATGTTGGCTCAATGAATATGAAAACACTGAAAATTCAGTGATGTTCTCTGAAATGTATTGCTTCCAATTATATATATATATATATATATATATATATATATATATATATATTTCTGTTTCTCATAGGCAAATAAAAGCCTAAGAGAGCAATATTAAAACCATTGAAAATATAAAATGACTCCTTTTCCTTTTTCTGAAAAGGAAGGATTTAAGTAAACTATCTCTGACAAAATCCATCTCAGATACTACTGGACAAACAGATCTTCGAGAGAACAGTATGAGCAAAGAGAAAAATGATGAGAAATTTTAAAATTATCTGTTTCAAAAGAAGGTCTACTTCGATTAATTGGAAAAGTTCTCCTACTCCAAAAATCATGGAAACTATTTTTTATCTCTATTTTTATAGTCTTAATTAGTTTGAAGAATTCACAGATGTAATTAGATTAGAAAAACTTCTAGGTGAAAAAAATTACTGAGTTAAAAAAGAAAGTGGATAAACTAATTGTAAAGATGCATTTCATATATGCATGAGTTGGGTTGATTCAAAGAGAAGAATTAGCAAAGATAATGAATTTGAGAGATCATAGAATATTTCCCACCAGTTCCATCAATCATCATGCAAGGGTTTACATTTCATGAATGAAATTGATAGCATAAGGAAGGCAGTTAAATTCAACAAATTAATAAAAGGTTAGTGGCATCACATAACATAATTCCATCTTCCTTAATCCTAGTTTTCCGTAGGCACTAGAACATGATTGCTTAACCTCCCATTCTTTCACCTGCCTTGATCTACCTATGATGCCTAGGACTGAAGCAAACATCTTGTGACCATAAAGTAACAAGCAGGAACATGAAAAAGAGGAAAGGTAAGAGCCTGTTCTGGTCTTTAAAGACGTTGTTAAGCCATTGAACCAATGACAGAAATCCTTGCCTCCTGAATTCATTGATTGGGTTCCAATCAGGAAAATGTGGTTTCAAGGTCAAGATCACAAGGGTGTGACTGTAAGATCTCTTGTTCGGATCTCAAAAAGTTTTTTTTTTTTTAATAAAGATTTTTATTTATTTGACAGAGAGAGAGAGAGAGAGAGCGAGTACAAGTGGGCAGAGGGGCAGGAAGAGGGAGGAGGAATCTCTCTGCTGAGCAGGGAGCCTGACACGGGTCTTGATCCCAGGACCGTAAGGTCATGACCTGAGCTGAAGGCAGCCGCTTAACTGACTGAGCCACCCAGATGCCCCCAGATCTCAAAAAGTTTTAAAATAGTGTTTCACAGACCCACTCGGCTAAACAAAAAATATTCTAAGTATCTTAGGATATCCTGTTAAATCCTCTTGGCTGGTTAAGACAGCATCTGTGATTCTTTTTTATTTTTTTTAAAGATTTTATTTATTTATTTGAGAGAGAGAGATCACAAGTAGGCAGAGAGGCAGGCAGACAAGTGGGTGGGGGGAAGCAGGCTCCCCCACTGGGCAGGACCTCAATCCCAGGACCCTGAGATCATGACCTGAGCTGAAGGCAGAGGCTTAACCCACTGAGCCACCCAGGCACCTTGAGCCTCTATAATTCTTAAGGATATTGTACTACAGCACCTTGGCTCTCAACCAAAGGCAAACTGTGGCCTGTCTTAAAGATATTCAGAAGTGTAACAGTTGGCTAAGATCATAACTTGATAATACAGAAAATCACAAATTAAGAATCACAGCATCTGGGACAGGAACAGAGACAATTTAAATGGAAAGAAGTTTCTGAACCCTCGGCCTTCGGCTTTCTACAGAGAAGACAGAGGCTGCAAAGTTACTCAGTTACCAATATTATCTCTTTCTCATGGAAAGAGAAGGTAAAGCCAAGCCACGAGGGTAGAGGCAAGAGCTTCAAAGTTACTATGGCTCACTCACTGACTGCTGTACGCTTCACTTTCCCCCTTTTCCACCTTTGGAATATAAGTGCCTATGTGTTTTCCTGTTCCTTACTCACTGCGTATACAGGACACAGATAACTGGTCTCTTCAATTCACAGATTTTAAGACTGAGAGGTGCCATACTCAAGCAGCCTCATCCACCTGGATCTGATTTAGATGCTCAAATTCTGTACTTCAAGGCCAAGCCTGATGCAGCAATAGTATGAGGCAAGGATCTTAGAAGGGGAGTAAAAATAGTTTGCATGTGGGAGGCACATGAATGACTTGTGGGTATATATAGTTAATTTGTGGCAGTTAAATCTCCAAATGTGGGCCCCCAATGAACATCACTTTCTAAGATTCCTGCCCTTCTGCAGTCCCTTCCCATACCGAATCAGGCTTGAGCATGAGACTTGCTTTAACTAACAGAATTCAGTAGAAATGACCCTGTGTTTGTTCCATGCCTAGCTCTTATTTTTTTTTTTTTTTAATTTGACAGAGTTCACAAGTAGTCAGAGAGGGAGGCAGAGAGAGAGGGGGAAGCAGGCTCCCCGCCGAGCAGAGAGCCTGACTCGGGGCCTGATCCCAGGACCCTGAGATCATGACCTGAGCCGATGATCTCTGGGGTCTGGCACTGAGCCGCACATTGGGCTCCAGCCCCATGTTGGGCTCCAGGCCAGCACTGGGCTCCTTGCTTAGCAGGGAACCTGCTTCTCCCTCTCCCTCTGCCTGTCACTCCCCTTGCTTGTACAGACACTCTATCAAACTAATTAAATTAAAAAAAGAATTATTCCCCAAATAGAGATATTTAATGAAATTATCTTAGAATTTGGAAGAGAATTTAGAAATGACCTGATATGATCTACCATTCAACAGATGAGGAAATAGGTCTACAGGTTTAGATGTTTAGGTGGTTTAGGTGCCCAAGTTTGCTGAAGTATTTGGAGGCAGAACCTTAGTTAGAATTCAGATTGTTTACCCATTGACCAGTATACATTTTTACACTGCTTTAGGAGCTACCTATAATAGTGATTCAAATAAGAAGTAAAGATCTAAATAGAATAACTGTCATTTTGAGAAGTGCTTTAACCCTTTGAATTTATATTCAAATCATTCACATTTTAAACTATAAAATTATATGTAATAAGAATGTTATTTTCTCTAACAGTTTTATTAAAAATTTCCACTGAAATAATTTCTCCAGATTTTGAATTTCCTTTGAATTTACATCTCCCTGTTGTTACACTTTCAGCTGAATTTTATACCCACCCATGAGACTAGTTTGTACTACGGGTATCTCACACCACTCTGCTTTTCCTTCAAGGGTTTTTTTTCCTCCTTACTTGAATCTAAGTAGGGTAGGAATGTTTAGTATACTTAGACATACTTCCACTTGGGAGACTTTTGAATGCATTTTCAATTTTTTTTTTTTTAAATGAATTATTTTGTTTTCCCTAGTCTTATACTTCTAATACAAGGTCTTCCTCTGGATCTTGGGTTTGAGACCTACCTTTGGATTTTGAATCTGAGGAAACTAAGCTTGTGCTCTTTTTTCTAGCTAAGCTTAAATTGTTGCTTTGCCATCTAAGTTCTGTTGGTGATGACTCTAAGTTCCTCCACTTTATTTTACCTGGATATATATAGCTAGTTTTCAATTTTACCTCTGATGAAGATGAGTCTGTTTTTAAAAGCCTTGGATATCTATCTTTCAATTTTACATCTGATGTTAAGAACATATTTTTTTCCCCCTCCAGCGCAGCTTCTGATTGGTAGTCTTCTAGAGGTGATGTTTGGTTCTCCTCTGTTATTTTCAGGATAGGAATAACAGGCAATGGAGTTTGCTTTGTTGATTCATTTGTTTGCTTTGTTGACTCATCTGTTTGCTTTGTTGATTCATTACTTTCAGGAGCAACAGCACTTGAATTATCTTGATTTGACTGGTTCAGAGTTGGTAGAGTCAGGCTTTTCTTATCATCATTATCCAGCAACTAGAAAATATATCAATAAAGCAAGCTACCAATTAATCACTAGAAAATATTTAAAACTAAGAAAACTGGACTTAAAAAATCATTTGTACTACCTTATTCGTTATCATAAAAAGTGACCATCAATATCTGTCAGTTATTACATTCCTTATTGAAAGAGTTAAACTCTTCACTTGCACGAAACCATGGACTACAGAATATTATTCATTAAGATGATCGCGTAGCTCTTTTTTTTTTTAAAGATTGTATTCATTTATTTGACAGAGAGAGAGCACAAGTAGGGGGAACAGCAGGCAGAGGGAGAAGGAGAAGCAGACTCCCTACTGAGCAGGGAGCCCCATGCAGGGCTTGATCAGAGGACTGCAGGATCATGACCTGAGCCAAAGGCAGACACTACACCATCAGAGCCAACCAGGAGCCCCAATCACACTTTATAAAGCAGTGGTTCTCATATATTCAGATTTTGTAAATCAGCAACATCTTAATAAAGATAATTCAGTCCAACATTTTGCTGTTATTATGCTACACCAATATATTACAATAAAAGAAATTTTAGGGATGCCTGGATGGCTCAGTCCATTGAGTGTCTGACTCTTGATTTCAGCTCAGGTCATGATCACAGGGTCATGGGACTGAGCCCCCTGTCAAGCTCTGCACTCAGTTGATTCTCTCTTTCTCTCTCTCTCTCTCTGTCCTCCTCCAGCACTCAAATATGCACACTCTAAAAGAAATAAATCTTTTTTAAAAAATAAAAATAAGGAAAAAATTTAAAAAATAAGGGAACTTTTAATAGCAAAATAGCACAAAGAAAATATCATTAAATCAAATATTATGTGAACTCTATTTTTGCTTCTATCTTAAATATAGATTATAAATCCATAGAGAAAGTAAAGAATGTGGTTACGTCTGTAGCATCCACTTCCAAGATCATTGTGCAGAATTTCATGCTTTTACTTTTACTTGTTGCCCACTTTCTCTTTATCAACATCTTTTGTCCCCTATCTTTGTATGTATTTTAAAATATTATCATTTTATGTTGTAATTTCCCTTTTAAGAGTGTAACTTAATTAAATAAATAATGTAACTGTAGAGACAGTGCCACAACAGAAATGACCATAAAAACCTGAATAACTTCCTGGGTGCTTTTTTTCCTATTTATAAAAATTTCTTTCTTTATAAATGTTACATCCCCTTATAAAATAGTGATTATTAGAAGTTCTCTTCCAAGTTCCCTCACCTCACTTGGAACAGTTTCAACTTCCTCCATTATAAGAGGGAAATCTGTTAATAAATTAATAGAGTATTTCATTATTATATTATAAAACAAACACATTTAAACATATGTACACCAATGCTATTTTAATTTTTCTCACAAGAACAAAGAACAATTTAAATCAAAGCAGTTATTCAAACATAAATACTATTTAGTAAAAACAGGCTGATGAATCTCTGGGAAGATAGGGGATTTGTAAATTGAAAAAGTGTGGAGATAAAAATGAGTACATGCATTAAGTGGTAAGATTTCAGATCCATCAATGTAAGATATAAAAACATATATACAGTATATTCTGCTACGAGTTAAGAGGAAATAAAATAAATCCCAGATGGTCTGTAATAGGGTTGGGATTGGAAGAAGAGACTGGAATAAAGTTGCATGTAAGCAGAGAAAGTAGGACCATTTGGAAGCTGATTGAAGCTCTTGTAAAATTTTCCTACAAATATAAAGATTATATATTTAGCAAGTAGAAAAGGAAAACCTTTAAAGGAGACAATAAAAATTTGAGATACAAAGGAATGTATTAAGTCTAGTATAACACAAAATTTATTATGGTCACTGTTAGCTATGTGACTGTAGTCAGCTTAGCCCATTTTTCTGAGCCTTGGTTTTCTCATATGTAAAATAAGATTAATAATGCTTATCTTACAGGTGTGATACAAGTACATGTAAGATGTGAGCAGCAATATGGCTAAATGCTTAATCTGTTTGCTCAAATGTACAACGTTCAAATTTAATCCCTATCAGTTGATGGCTATGTGACTTCTGACTTGTTTCTTAATCTTTCTGATCCTCAGCTTTCTAATCTGTAAAACATGGATAAATAATAATAGCACCCTCGGGATGCCTGGGTGGCTCAGCGGGTTAAGCCTCTGCTTTTGGCTCAGGTCATGATCTCAGGTCCTGGGATCAAACCCGCATTGGGCTCTTTGCTCAGCAGGGAGCCTGCTTCCTCCCACTCTCTCTGCCTGCTTGTGATCTCTTTCTCTGTCAAATGAATAAATAAAATCTTAAAAAGAAATAATAGCACTCTCAAATGGCTGCTGTGAGGACTGATTTATAAAATCTAGGTAAAGGCCTGCAACACAATGGTCAATAAATGTTAGCTGAAGCTATAAGAAGCTAGAGAAATACCAGAAAAAAGAAGTCACTAGACTTGAAATAAACTCTTCAGATAAGAAAAAAAAAGAAAGAAAGAAAAAGAAAAAAAATTTGGCAACCAACAGTGACTGAGGCATGTTAACCTCAAATCTTCAACAGTGATACTGAAGATGGAAATTGTGATTCTCCTACACCTGAAAATTGAACGTTTCAAGGTAAAGAGTAGGCTAAAAACACCATAGCTCTGCTAGGCTGGCTGATTCTCAGAGGTTATGAAATGAAGATATCAAAGGCTGAGGTAGCCAGGAAGTAGAAGTAAGGAAGTAGGGAAGTAACTTGTGGCACAAGTCTTGCAACAATAAGTCATTATTTAACACCTGCAGAATCCAAGATTTTACAGATATAGTCTATGCAACTATTTTAACTTACTTTCAATGAATGTTTAATGGAGATTTTTTTAAAGGATACCAAACAATATCTTCCATTATCTTACTGATAATTTGTAAAGAGTTCTCAAATTTAATGCTAATTGAACTTCCCATCTCCCTCTCTCTGTCCTTCCTTACACACATACACACACACACAACCACACCTCTACTTAGAAGAGACCAATAGCCCTAGAGCTAATGTTTAAGAAAAATACTTTTTCACAGATTATAGTTAAGATTTAACTTTTTTCTTGTCCTTAAATGAGGAAAGGAGAATTTTAAAAAAGAAAAACAAACACTCTTGGGTACCTGGGTGGTTTAGTTGGTTAAGCATCCAACTCTTGGTTTTGGCTCAAGTCATGATCTCGGGGTTGTGAGATCAACACCCACACTGGGCTCCAAACTCAACACAAAGTCTGCTTGAGATTCTCTCCCTCTTCCTCTGCCCTCCCCCTGCTCACACACATGCTGTCTCTCTCTCATATAAATAAAATCTTAAAAAAAAAAAAACAAACAGCTCCTAATTGGGTCAAAGTATTTTCTTTGGAGTGTAACAAAATAAATAGTATATACTAAAACTATGAGAAGTATATTTATTTCAAACAAAAAATGAAATCCTCTTAAAGTGAATTACTAATTTTCTTTTTGTGATACAACTATCCTCTTTTTAATTATCTTAATAATAAACACAAATGTGAATAGTTTCTTAACCCGATGCTTCAAAAACTTCAGACTCTGCTTCACGTAGGCTTTTTAGTAACTGCTCGGTATCAGTTTCCTAGAAACAAGAAAAAAAAAAAAGAAAAAGATATTGGAGAAATGTTTAGAGAGCCAATCTGCCTTTATAACTTCTTTTATTATGTTCTTTAGAATTTACAGAAGAATATGGGTTTATGAGGAAAACCATCCAAACAGCACTATTTTAAAGAGAAGTATACCCTGGCAAGGAATTATGTTTCAGGGAGAAGCTAGCTATCCAAGAACTGACAGGGTATTTGAGTGACAAATATATCAGAGAAAAAGATTATGAGATAAATGACATAATATTGTAGCTTCAAGAGATAAAAGAGGATACCCCCAGAAAACAGATTACTTTTTTATTGGAAACCATTATGAGTTGCAAACTAATGTGGATCTTTAAAAAAATTCCAAGAGGAATTATACGGTAGAGTGATCACTGACTCTTACAAAATACTGATCTTTTAATAAGAACCAAAAATCGGAGTCAAGATGTCAAAGAGTAGCAGACCAAGATGACATCTAGATTGTTATCAAACCATTCCGAACACCTACAAACCCAACAGGGGATCGAAGAGAAGAAGAGCAGCAATTCTAGAAACAGAAAATCAATCACTTTCTGAAAGGTAGGACGTGTGGAGAAGTGAATCCAAAGCTACGGGAAGATAGACTGCAGCGGGGAAGGGGCCAGCTCCCAGCAAGTGGTGAGCAATGGAGTACAAAATCCGAACTTTTAGAAGTCTGCTCCACTGAGGGACATCGCTCCAGAGGCTAAGCAGGGGTGGAGCCCTTGCAGGGACAGTGTGGTCTCAGCTCCTGCAGGGTCACAGAAGGATCAGGGGTTTCTGATTGTAGCAGAGCTTGCAGGTATCAGAGCAGAGAAGCCAGCTACAGAGACAGAGCCAAGGAGTGAGCTCTCAGCTCGGGGTTACCTTAAACTGTGATCCACAGCACAGTCAGGCCACTGCTCTTTGAGCAGGGACCCCACAAGTGGCAGATCCAGGGAGACCCATCTTCATCCACTGGAAAAGCAGAGCGGCAGGAATCTGCTGGGTTTAGAGACTCCAAATGGGGCTGTGTGCCAGAGACAGAAATGCTTGGTCACAGGCTGGGTGAGCTCAGAGCGCAGCTGGAGACCAGGGAGATAGGAGTGATTGAGCGTTTCCTCTGAGGGTGCACTGAGGAGTGTGGCCATGAGCTCTCAGCTCCTCCGGGCTGGAGATGGGGAGGCCCCCATTTTCATTCCCATCCTTCAGAGCTCTACAGAAAGCGTTTAGGGAACAAAAGCTCCCAAAATCGAACCCAAGCAGATTACTTAGCCTGGCCCCTGGCAAGAGCAGCACAATTCCACCTTGGGCAAGGATATTTGAGAATCACTACAACAGGCCCCTCCCCCAGAAGATCAAGACCATCCAGCTAAGACTAAGCTCACTGATCAAGCAGAACAGTGGAATTCCAGAGAAGGGGAAAGCAAAGCATGGAATTCATGGCTTTCTCCCCATGATTCTTTAGTCTAGCAAAGTTAATTAGTTTTTTTAATTTTATTTTTTTTCTTATTCTAATTTTTTCCTCTTTCCTCTTTTATTTTATTTTATTATTTTTTAAAGATTTTATTTATTTATTTGTCAGAGAGAGAGAGAGAGTGCGCGAGAGTGAGCACAAGCAGATAGAGTGGCAGGCAGAGGCAGAGGGAGAAGCAGGCTCCCTGCTGAGCAAGTAGCCCGATGTGGGACTCGATCCCAGGACGCTGGGATCATGACCTGAGCCGAAGGCAGCGGCTTAACCCACTGAGCCACCCAGGCGTCCCTCCTCTTTCCTCTTTTAATGTTTTTTTAACTATTTTATCTTAACAGTACCTTTCTAAAGAAAAAATCTTTTTGAACCTTCATTATTATAGTCATATTTTATCCTTCATTGTGTCTAACTTTATTTTTTGTATACATATAGGGTTTTTTCTTTGAAAAAATTTTGGGATACAATTTCTTCCAATAGATTAAAATATACCCTAAATCTAGCACAGGGCTTTGTTCTAGTCTCCAGCCTGAGCACATTCTCCAACCCCCTCCCCGCTTTTTTCTTCTTTCTTTTTCCAAACAACTTATCAATTCCTCCTTTAGGATTCTTTTAAAAATTTTTCATCTTTACAGTCATATTTACAGTCATATTCCATCGCTTCATTGTGTTTACCCTATTTTTGCATATATATATATAAGTTTTTCTTTCTTTAAAATTTTGGGAGGTAGTTTCCTTTTTTAAAAATTTTTATTTATTTTTTAAATTTCTTTTCAGTGTTCCAGAATTCACTGTTTATGCACCACACCCAGTGCTATGGACAGCACATATTGCAGGGAGGTAGTTTCTTCTAAGAGACCAAAATACACCCAAAACCAAGTGGGTGGCTCTGTTCTATTCACCAGTCTAAAATATATATTTCATTTTATATATATATGTATATATATATATATATATATATATATATGTGTGTGTGTGTATATATATATATATATAATTTTTTAAAAAGGTGTGTGCACCTTTTATTTTTTTATTTTTTTTAAAGATTTTATTTATTTATTTGACAGAGAGAGAGATCACAAGTAGGCAGAGAGGCAGGCAGAGAGAGAGGGGGAAGCAGGCTCCCCGCTGAGCAGAGAGCCCGATGCGGGGCTCGATCCCAGGACCCTTGGATCATGACCCGAGCTGAAGGCAGAGGCTTTAACCCACTGAGCCACCCAAGCGCCCCGGTGTGTGCACCTTTTTAAAAAAATTTTTTTAAACTTATTTTTATCCTCTTTCTTCTCCCCACAATTTGGGGTCTCTTCTGATTTGGTTAGCATACATTTTTCTGTGGTTTTTGCCACCCTTTTGGTATTTTATTCTCTTGTTCATATATTCTTATCTGGATAAAATGACAGAAGAGGCAGAAAAACTCACCACAAAAAAAAGAACAAGAGGCAGTACCGAAGGCTAGGGACCCAATCAATATGGACATTGGTAATATGTCAGATCTAGAGTTCAGAATGACTATTCT